GTCTCGGGCCGACGCGAGTGCATCGACCCGCCAGCAGCAGCCTGCTGCTGTCTCAACAGTTCAAACTGTTGAGCACCTTGTTCTCTCAACAACTCTGCTTGTTGAGAACCTTGTTGGTGAAGCAAGGCTACTTTCTCGCGTTCAGCGTCAAGTTCATTTTGGATGAACTTGGCGATAGTAGCATGTTGGGCGTCTCTATTGAGAGCCTCTAGCATGACGCTAACAGCATGGATGCCCATGGTCGAACCCATTCGTTCAACCGCATCCCATTCGACATCGCTCAAATGGGAGTAGCCGTCACGCGTAGCGTGAAAGCTTTGGTCATCTTCATCATCCAACATATTCATGTTGGATGTGAACGCGGTCCTTGGACGGACTACGAAGTGCTACCAGGTGTAACGGGGCACCCTGAAGCTTGTACTGGTGACAGTACAAGCTACTTATTCTGATAACAGAATAAGGCGGTGCCTCGTAACTTCACGTACACTCGTACGTGCAGAGGAAGACGGTAAGAAGAAGCGAGTACTTGGTTAAAGTAAAAGTAGAACTGTATTTATAATAGTTAATGTCTGCAATAAATCACTATTTATCTTCATCTAACTATGTCTAAATACAAATGTGTAAATCAGTTATCTGCTCACCACTCATTGCGTGCGTCTGTCGTGGCGCGTCTTCGTTGGTTGATATAATGGCCTATATCAACCAATTAGGAACTGCTTGTAAGTGCTACAGAATATTTGTCCTTATGACAATATTCTGAGAATATAACTCTTATAGTTATATTCTATTAACAATTTCTTATAAATTGTTATGTAACGATTCACCCCGTTACAACGATGACTTTATCGTATTGGATTTGGATGACAAATTTGATGTCATCCTTGGAATACCGTGGCTTAGAAGGTACGAACCACGGGTAAACTGGCAACATCGGACAGTAACGATGCCTGCCGCTTGTTCATCAGATGGCCATCTGATGAACGTTTTGGAGCGTCCACAAGCGTGTGGATGTACTACGAGTGAGTGCGATGGCCTCACTTGTGGTACGGTCGTTAGTACGACTGCACAAAACCTTGGTGTACCAAACGGTTACACTTCGGAGCAAAGTTCCGGCGGCTGTGAGGAAACACAGGCTGCGCCGAAGGTCCACCACTCGAATAAGTCGGGTGGACTGGGACAAAGATGTATCCCTAGAGGGGGAACATCTAGAAGAGAAACAATCGATCGCTCAGGTTAAGCGAAACGATAATCCTAGATCGACTGGAGAGTCTTTCGTAGAGGATCTCGCTGTGGTTGCGCAACCCCAGCTAGAGGAAGTAAAGGGAATAAGTCCCAAGATTACAAATACGGCGGAAATAAGTTCCCCGAAACCCGCGGGAATAAGTCCCCCGGGAAGACGAAGGAATAAGTCCTTCGAAGCCTGAGGGAATAAGTCCCCAGGAAATGACAGAGACATTGAATGTCATAGTCAATAACGGATCATGTGTAGGCGCTTATACACTTGATCTGATTGCGCCTCCGAAGTTAACTTCGGAGATCACTCAGTTGCCAACGCTCGAACATAAAAAGATTCTTGCGTGATCTGCGTAGTGGCAAAGTCAAGCAGATCTGCATACTCGTCGCTGAAGACGAGTATGTAACCGACATAAGGTCAGCAACAGTGTTTACTGAGAACGAGAGAGTTCTCAGTAGTTCATCTATGGACGAGAGTGTCCTAGATGAAAAGACACGAATTGAGCGATATGAGTCCCAATCATGGGAATCGCTCAAGACAAATCCTCTCTATGAAGATTTGGTTGAATTCAAGGATGTATTCCCTGAAACTGTTCCGTGCGAATTACCGAAGGATAAAGGTATTCGACACGAAGTCGAGCTTAAACCAGGCTCGAAGTACTGTGTCATGAAGCAGTGGCCACTGCCTCGTGAACAAGTACTTGCGATCGACAAGTTCTTTGCCGATCGTTTAGCAGCCGGGCCATGTGAGGGAATCAACTTCCCCACATAGCTCTCCGACCTTCTGTGTGCGAAAAGCAACAGGAGGGTGGCGGATAGTGCACGCGTTTAACAAATTGAACGCTGCAACGGTACCGGCTCAGACGCCAATACCGAGGAAGGACGTAATCATTGATGGTATGTCAAAGAGTACCATCTTTTCGTCCATGGATTTGATGGATGGCTTCTATCAAATCCTAATGCGGGAACGGGATATACTCTATACCGCAGTTAGCACGCCCTAGCGGCATGCTCTGGGAATGGCTAGTAATGCCACAAGGGCTCAGTAATGCCCCTGCCACGTTCAACAGGTGTGTATCACATCTGTTGAGGCCAGTACGAGAATTCGCGCCGAGTTATTTCGATGACGTATTCATCCATAGTCGAGCTATGGATGGAAAGTCGGACGTTGAGGTTCACAGGTACCACGTCCGACAAGTTCTTACAATCATGCGAAAGCATCAATTGTATGCAAACCTCAAGAAGTGTATATTTGCAGCAAGCGAAATACCACTTCTTGGGTGCATCGTTGGTAAGAACGGTGTACGTCCTGATCCCGAAAAGATCAAGGCGATCACCGACTGGCCCGTGCCGGTCGATGTCAAAGGTCTTCGAAAATTCCTTGGGCTAGCGGCGTATTTGCATAAGTATTCACGCAATTACGCCGAGATGACTGTACACCTCTCTCGTTTGTTGAAAAAGAACGAGAGGTGGTTATGGAACGCTGAATGTCAACGCTCCTTTGAGGGTATCAAGCAGAGCTTGATACAATCCCCAGTCCTAGCAATAGCCGATCAGGACAGGCCATTTCATGTGGTCTGTGATGCCAGCGATTTCGCAATCGGCTGTGCATTAATGCAGTACGACCTTGAAGGCGTTGAACGCGTCGTCTGCTATCAGTCGCGTCAGCTGCAACCAGCTGAGCGGAACTATCCAGTGCATGACAAGGAACTCCTTGCCATGAAGTATGCACTCGCGAAGTTCAGAGTCTATCTATTAGGAGATAGACCCTTCGTTGTTTACACTGACCATGCGTCCTTACGCACGGCAGTGAACAGCCCGCACCTTTCACAACGAATGGCGCGGTGGTTGTCATTCTTTGCAGAATGCAACTTTACGGTCGAGTACAAACCAGGACGACTTAATGTCGTCGCTGATGCGCTCTCACGTCGTCCCGACTTTGAAACAGTCGCGAAACCCAACAGTGAGACAGTCACTGTTGCGGTTATGACGTCCTCAGTTCCATCTACAACGTTGTATGATGATGTGAGGCGGGCATACGCCCAAGATGGTGAGATAGTGAAGTTGTTGTCACATCTCTCCCAACCATCTCGAGAATCGTTGAAACGATTGTCGTCTGCGTATCGATCTGCATCAGATCGATACACTACTCGTAACGGTTTACTGTACTATACAGCCGTTTCTGGTGACACACCACGTGTTGTCATTCCAGATGATACTGATCTGCGTTTGCGGATCATGTTCGAGTATCACGATGCTCCTATAGGAGGACATCGTGGCCGAGAGAAAACATATCTCACGGTAAGTCGAGACTTTTACTGGCCCCGCCGGTATCAGTTTGTGCGAAAGTATGTTCGCGCATGCGAAGTCTGCCAACGAGTGAAGTCAAGTCCTTCACTGCGTGCACCTTTACAGCCTCTACCGGTTCCGGCTGAGTGCTGGGAATCCATCTCAATGGATTTCGTCTTCAGGTTACCCAAAGACGCACGCGGGAATACGGGTATTCTCGTATTTGTTGACAGATTCAGCAAAAATGGTACACCTTGTGGCTGTACCAGAGACAATCACGGCAAGTGGCTGTGCTTGTGTCTTTATTGACACCATCTTCCGACTTCATGGGTTGCCCCGTGAACTCGTATCAGACAGAGATCCACGATTCACTGCTGATTTCTGGCGTTCCGTGTTCAAATCACTCGGAACGCGCTTGAAGATGTCAACATCTGATCATCCAGAGTCAGATGGTCAGACGGAACGTGCCAATCGTGTCCTTGAAGAGATACTTCGAGGATATGTACACTCCTTTAAGAGTTGGAGTGAGGGTTTGCCAATGGTAGAGTTTGCCATTAACAACTCGGTGCATGCGTTCACGACACATACACCGTTTTACGTGAATGGCTTCGCCATCCGCGTGTACCCACCTTACTAGAGTGTAACTCTGGTTTAAGGGGAGGGACTTCGCGAGCAAAAACCCGATTTGGTTCACGCTCATCACGCTCTGACGAAGAAGTCATTGCGTTTTGATGCCGATATCGATAACATCGATATCGAAGAAGATGATGCCAGTGAGAGTGCGGAAGCCCTCACTGAAGACAATGATCCCAGTGAAAGTGCGGAAGCCCTCACTGAAAAAAAGGTTAGTTGTCGCTGCAGTGCGCTCACAGCACACTGAAGCTAACGAGTCATCAGATGAGTTCATACTGGCTCGTGAACCGGTAGTCCGTTTTGTGCAAGACTCCATAGCCGAAGCATTGGATAAGCAAAAGCAAAACGCTGACAAGAATGGAAGGGCAAACACTCTTTTATTTAATAAAGGTGAATTAGTCCTACTGTCTACGGTTAATCTACCAAAGCATGTAGTGACTAACTTGGTAGCAGTAAACTACTACCCAAGTACATTGGTCCCATTTCGTGTATTGGACCGCCTAGGCAATGCATACACGATCAATTTCCCACGTAAGATGCGAACGCATCCCACGTTTTTTTTACGTTGGTCGCTTAAGCGCGTACCATCAGTACGCTGCTTCTTCCGATGAAGAACGCCCTTGCGCTCAAGCATCTCGCAAAGAGAGCCTTGTGCTCCCCGATGAGTGGGCATCAACAAGGGTCTGAAGAGCAGTTATCTCAGCCCGAGACCGATCAACAATCCCTAGAGCTACCCTTGGCTCGTCACGAAGAGCTGTCGGAGATCTCTCTCGTTCTCAGCTGAGCAGCGGCAAACTCAGCTCGATGCCGGGAGGCAGTCCACCATCTGGAGACGCCTATTCCGCTCATGCTCTCGCGATCGTCGCGTAACCCTTACAGGTTACGCGATCAAAGAAGCTCTCGGGAACACACCGATCCACATGATCGTGGAGAGCGTCTTTCTCCTCCTCCACATTAGAGGACTCTCGTGTGGAGAGCGTCTTTAGAGCCTCCTGAACCTCCGCGACCTCCATTAACGAGGGACGAGTCTCGCGGTGGCCAGCGCTATCTGG